TTCTCTGTGTAGCCCAGGCTGTCCTGGAACTCACTCTGTAGACTAGGCTGGCCTCAAACTCAGGGATCCACCTGTCTCTGCTGTTCTGACTGGGGTGAGGTGTAGTTTAGTTTGCATTTCTGATGGCTGAGAATGTAGGAACATTTTCCCAAATGTTTTTGGCCATTTGTGGCTATTCTTTTGAGAACGGCCTGTTCAATTCATTTGCCCACTTACTGATTGGTTGACTTGGGTTTTGTGTGTTTCGTTTGTTGAGTTCTTTATAGATTCGATATGTTAATCCCTCGGAGATGTGGAGCTGACAAAGCTCTTCTCCCACGCTGTGGACTGTCCTCACTGGGCTGCTTCTTCGGCTGTGTTGAATTTTTAATTTCCTGCAATCTTTCATCATCAATCTTGCAGTTACTTCCTGAGCTTTCAGAGTCTTTGCAGAAGTCCTTGCCCATGGCTGTATCCTGAAGTGGTCGGGTTTGGTTTGTTTTTTTGATTTTTTGTGTTGAGACAACCTCACTTACTATGTAGCCCTGTTTGGCCTGTAACTCCCTCTATAACCCAGGCTGGTCTCAAACCCACAGAGATCCGCCTGCCTCTGCCTCCTGTCGTTGGGATTAAAGACGTGTGTCACCATGCCTGCTGAGTACTTTTATTCCGTTCCCAGCACCTGTGTCGACATGCCAGGCAGCCGTAACCCAGGTCTGGGCTCCTGGCACCACTCGGGATCTGTGGGCACCGTACACACACACACACACACACACACACACACACACACACACACTCACACACATACCCCCACACACACACACACACTACAGCTGTGTTTGCGTCTGTGTCCTCTGGTCCTGTTTCTGTAAAGTGCCACGCCATTTCATCATCAGGACTCGGTACTGTGATCAGAAATGGAGACCCCTCAGCACAGCTGCTTTGGCCTAGAATGGCTTTTTCACCCCCAAACTTAATTACATTATCCAAGGCTCTAGTTCCAAATACAGTCACTCTAGAGGTTAGCTCCTCACATTTCAGTTGGGGGTGGGACACAATTCAGTCTACAGATATTTTTCTCAGTATATAAAAATGAGTTCAAGGGGCTGGAGAGGTGGCCCAGTGGTTAAGAGCACTAACTGATCTTCCAGAGGACCTCGGTTCAATTCCCAGCACCCACATGGCAGCTCACAACTATCTGTAATTCTAGTTCTAGGGGATTTGACACCTTCACACCAATGTATATAAAATAAAGTTAAAAAAAAGAAATTCTAAAAATAAAAAAATGAATTCAGAATAAAGGCTAAATATGAAAATAAAACTAAGATTAAGAAAAAGAATGAAGATCTTTTGTAAGTGTAAAGTTTTTCTTGAACAAGATACTAAAACAAAAAGTATAAGGAGAATTTTTGAAGAATTTAACCATATCCAAACTCAGGCTTTCTTTTAGCAGAGGTACCATTGAATTATAGTATGATAGACACATCTAAAAGATTTATTACCTGGGAAATTAGAAAAAATTCCCAAAGTGTCAGGGGGAAAAAAGGAATAAGAACCACCCCCACCAAGCTAGCAAAGGCCAGAAGCAGGCAAATCCCGGAAGTGGTAACGAGAACAATCATCAGATGTGAGGAGAGAGACTCTACCTTGGTGATAGCAAGAAATTCCAAGTCAAATGTGGATGTCGCTTTGAGGAAAATGTGAAGCCAACAGTTTGAATCATTGGCCTGGCTGTAGAGGGAAATCACTGTGGGTAGGAACCGTGCAAAACAGAGCAACATCGCAAGGTCTGGTCCATAAGCAGGTGTGTGCCCTGAGCCCAGCGTGCCCAGAGCTAGATGGATCCAAGGTGTTCACTGGAGCATTATTTGCAAGCGGCAAGAAGCTGCCAGCAGCCTGAGCACCATGAGGGTTAATATCAATGTCACTGGCTCTAGACTCACCCTGGAGACAAGCTAAGGACATGCCTGGGAGGGGCTGTCTGAGGTACATCATTGAGGAAGGAAGATCTGTCTTCACGATGGGTGGCGTCATCTCATGTGCTGAGGTCCTGGACCAAACAAAGAGAAAACAAGCTGAGCATGAGCGTTCACCTTTCTTGGCTTCCTGCTGCAGACTCAGTGAGACCAGCTGCCTCATCGGCACCGGCGTCATCGTCTGCGTCGTCCTGCTTCCCAGACCGCTCTGTTGTGGTGGGTTGTGCCCTGGAACTGTGAGCCAAAGGGCACCTTCCTTAAGGTGCACCCACCTCGGGAAGAACGGAAAAGCTAAACGCGGTGGGTGCACACACCTGTGTGTGTGCCCAGGATTCCAGGCAGCAGGGAGTCGCGGGGAGAGCGTGAAGGCAGGACCAAGATGCTCCTGACGTCTTGTATCAAGACAGCAAAGAGTTTCCATCCATCAGACTTCTGCTAGCCGTTCACCAGCCCAGCTTTCATTATGCAACCAGACCCAGCTCAAAAATGACTGAGAAAAAGGAAGCTATGGTTAGGGGATGTGTCAGAGATGTCTGGACATCTGCTAAGTACTGCACAGAATCCCACAGTCACCAAATTTTACTCTGATGGTTTGGGGTAGAGCAGCCATCTTGTGACTAAGAGGAAAAGTAAGAGAATTCCAGGCAAGACCCTGGCACCATCCGATGCCTTAACCGATAGCTATTCCTGAATTTTTTATTTTTATTTTTATTTATTTATTTATTTATTTTGCTAAGCCACACATGTCCGTTAGAGTGCAGTGGCAGACAGCAAGAACACACTGGCTAGTTGAAACAGAAAGGGCTGGAGAAGCAGGCTGTAGGTCTGAAATAACTGCCAGCTTTGGCAGTCATATGACCTCTGCCTGTGATTGAGAAATCCGCAGTCAGTACTACAGGAAGCTGGTGGATCAGGAAGCTGCTTGCAGAGCCTGCCTGTGTTACCACGGTCTGTCTCAGAAAGCGGGTGTCCCCTGCTACATAGCTCTGCCCCAAATTTACCTCCATAGAGCGTAAAAGCCCAGATCCACAGCTCCTGGAGGCTGGCAAGTGCTGACTTAGCTTTCCAGCTTGGCAGTTCAGGAGAAGGGCCACCTGCAGCTTTGGATGAAGGCTGAATCCAGCCCAGACAGAACCCCCACTCTCCAGGCCAGCCCCAAAAATGACAGTACAAATCTATTATTACTTTAATAAGTCATATTTTACTACTTCAAATCTAATTCACTAGATTTAATACATCATAATTTCTATAGCTCTGATTTGAAATTTCTTTTTTAAAACTTTTTTTTTCAACACAGGGTCTCTCTGGTGTAGCTTTGGTGCCTTCCCTGGAACTCACTTTGTAGCCCAGACTGGCCTCGAACTCACAGAGATCTGCCTGGCTCTGCCTCCTGAGTGTTGAGATTAAAGGTGTGTGCCATCACTGCCCGACCCTTTTTTAAAACTTTTATTTTAATGTTTTGGTTTATAGGTGTTTTGCCAGTGTGTCTGCCTGTGCATGTAAGTAAACTGCAAAAACTCTGGGTTTGGTGTCCCGGGTTTCGGCACCAAATGTAAGTAAACTGCGAGGAGACAGTTCAGCCCTAGAGGGCGAGGTATCCCAGACACCTCAGAGCTACTCAGAACAAGAGCTCTGCCCTGAAGGTGTCCCGGACTCCTGAAGCTGTTTAGCACAGCTCTGATGGCTGAGACTGCAAAGAAACAGCCCAACCTTGGAAAGGAAGGTTTTCTGACTTCTCAGGAGAGTCAGGCCTGGAACTGCTTCAGCAAGGAAAGGTATCCTGACTCTTCGGGAAAGTCAGGGTATCCTGACTCTTTGGGAAGGTCAGGATATACATGGTATGATGGTATGATGGGGGATGGTTTCCCCGCAGGACACAGCAATCCTGCTCCTCTCCTGGAGAGCCACAATCTCTGGCTCAGTGTTACCAGCTCTTTCTCGCTCAGTCCACTATGGGACGTCCCAGCAAGGTTCTTCTGTTCAGCTCCCCCTTGCTCAGTCCACTATGGGATGTCCCAGCAAGGTTCTTCTGTTCACCAGTCAATGAAGGTCTTCACCCAATACTCTTTTGAGAAAGAGGTTTATTTGGGAAGGAGGAGTCCAGGAGAGTAGCTGCCTCTACCAGGGTGGAGTGAACAGCTCACAACTGACCGGGCAGGGCGGTTTATATAGGATGTCTAGGGGGCGGAGTCAACTGTGATTGGTTAGTTTATTTTCTGCCCAGGGTCTGGCCAGTTTTGTGAGCAAGGGGCAGAGATGGCCCTGATTTCAGTGTTTCTCTCACTGGCCTTTCTTGGCCTTTTGACACTACCTCTAAGGCCAGGGCACATTTCTTTCACTGACTCTGATTCTAGGGGCCAAGAGTGTTATTTTGGTACTAGTCTCAGAGTCAGGGCATATTTCCTGGGTCCTGGGTTTGGGGATAAAGTGTTCACTTCTCTGGCTCAGGTCCCAAACACAGGCTGTGTTTCTTTCCCTGGTCCTGGTCCCTAGGGCCAGGATTCTACTGTCCTGCTCTGTGATTGGTTGATTTCACGAGTCAGTTGGACAAGGGGCAGAGATGGCTCTGATCTGAGCTAAGTTGTGTTTCTCTCACTGGCTTTATCTGAGCCATCCTTCCCTAATTCTGGGCTCCGGGGTCAGGGTGGGTTTCTCCCGCCAGCCCCTCTTCCCTACAGCACACATGTGCATGCAGTTACCTACAGAAACCAGAAGAGGGCGTCAGATTCCCTGGCCCTGGAGTTACTGACCCCTGGGAGCTGCCCCGTGGGTTCTGGTAACTGATGCACAGTCTCCTGGAAGAGCAGCCAGTGCTCTTAACTTCTGAGCCACCTCTCCAGCCTCTCCTGACAGTTCTTTTTTTTTTTTGTTTGTTTTTCGAGACAGGGTTTCTCTGTGTAGCTTTGCGCCTTTCCTGGAACTCACTTGGTAGCCCAGGCTGGCCTCGAACTCACAGAGATCCACCTGGCTCTGCCTCCCGAGTGCTGGGATTAAAGGCGTGCGCCACCACCGCCCGGCCTCCTGACAGTTCTTTATGTTCTGATTTCCTTGGGTAAACCCTGGAGCCCACCTCCCCACTCGTACTTATTTAACGCCCGGACCTTCTTCCACACCACGGCCGCGGCCTCTTCCCCAGACCTGCCCCACTGCAGTGGAGGGCATCTCAGGCTCCGGAGCCTCATCACGCTTCTCCTGCAAAACCGCTTCTAAGAGCAGCTGACGTCCCACGACGGAGGTGAGACTGACTGATCAGCCCAGGTTAGGTCCACTCCACTGTGGGCCTGGAGAAGCTGCCGCCAGCCAAGTCTAGTGGGATCTTAGGGCAGGGATGGGGCACCCCCTCCAGGCCCCCAATCCCTTCCTAACCCGCTTGACCCAGCTCAGCGCCGACGTGTTTATGGCAGCTTTCTGCAGGCCCAGCCATCTGTCACCTGCCTCACTTCCTGGTGATAGTCCCTGGGTTATGCCACAGAAGGACTGCTGGGTTTGGGAGATGCTGGGGTGCTCTGAGCCACAGGCCTGCCTGCTGTGATGGTCTTTTGGAGGCCCTAGAACCCCAGGTAAGGTTGGGGGAGGGGAAATGATAACCCCTATCGTGAGCCTCCTTGGGAAACTGACCTACAGTAAGACGCATTGGCTGCTTGTCTTGTGTTGGGGAAGGGGGGGTGGGGGGCAGGGGGAGACAGGTGCAGCTGCAGGAACATCTGTCCAGGATCGCGGATCACAGGAGACACTGTTCCTCTACATTCTGTCACTGCTGCCAGGTGATTGAAGAGAGACTCGCCTTTCTGCCCCAGACTGGAAGCAGAGGAGCCACCACTGACCTGGGAAGGGTTGGACATGTCTGAGGCACTGTCCTGCCCCAGCAACGAGACCCCTACCCCTGGTTGTCACCTGAAGACCCTGTACTGGGCCTGTGCCCACAATGACCCCGACGAGCTCCAAGCCAGGCTGGATGTCGGGGTCTCCCCAGAGGAGGTTTCCCAAGTGGACAGCAATGGGAGGGTGAGATACTCCAGGGCTCAGCGGGGCAGCTGGGGACGGGTCAGGCCCCACCCTCAGCATCCTGGTCTGGCTCTCCGGAGAGTTCCAGAAGCTGTTCCCACTCTAGACGGCTGAGAACCGTCTTCATGGGGGTTGGACCAGGCTCTGAGAATGTGCAGATGTAGAGGGCAAAGGTGGTAGTGGTGGTGAGGGGCTTCCCAAGGAGAACTTAGTGGAAAGTGGGGGTCCGAGCTGCCCTGTCCCCAGACAGGCCTCATGGTGGCATGCTACCGTGGCTTTGGTGCCATTGTGGTTCTGCTCAGCTGCTGTCCTTTCCTGGATGTGAACCAGCAGGACAAAGATGGAAACACAGCCCTCATGCTGGCCGCTCAAGCAGGTGCAAGACACAAACCCCCTACCCCACCCAGCACCCCCACTCCAACCCCCCCACCCCACCTCACCCCTGCTCTCAGCCATCAGGGCCACAACCCCAAACTTTGCACAGGGGTCTCTCTGGCCAGGCTTCACCATCCTGGGGATCCTGGGGTTCCTGGGGTTCCTGGGGATCCTGGGGATCCCAGCTTTGTGGTCCTGTCTCGGCAGGTCACACATCCCTGGTGACTCTCCTGCTCAACTACTTTGCTGGCCTGGACCTGGAGCGCAGGGACCAGCGGGGACTCACAGCTCTGATGAAGGCTGCCATTCGTGACCGCTCTGAGTGTGTGGTGGCCCTCCTCATGGCGGGTGTGTGGCGCCACTTCTTCCTCTACCTCCCCACTAGACACCACTTAGCCGCCGCCGCAGGAGAGGAGGGGGTGGAACACAGACGGAGGCCAACTTCACGGAGGAGGGGCGTGCGATCACCTTCCACAGTGTGCGAAGCCCGGCTGCCAGCCGTGACTCTTTATGGAGGTCCCAGCAAAAGAGTGCATTCCTAAGATGGGGAAAGGTGTGGGGGTGCGGCGGCACCTTCAACCAGAATCCTGAGTTCTAGTCCCGGCCTTGCCATCGCCTGAGACCCAGGCAGAGAAACAAGGCCACAGCAAGGTGAAGGCTGCCCCATGGGACGGCAGTGAGGACTGACCCCAGTTCAGGAGGAAGTGGCGGGCCCCTGTGGAGCTGTGGGACCCTTATTATCCCCCCCAGGTGGCTGTCGACGCCCTCTGCTGGTCTCTCTGAGGAATCCCGGTCTCCAGCTTTTCCCTTCCCAACCCCCATGGGTTTGGTGGGGAAGGAAGGGCACCCCTTGTCTTTCTCCTTTCAGAGTGACTGTGTCTCTCTGGCTCCAGAGAGAAAGGAATGATAATGAAGAAATAAAGTGGGAGGGGGAAGTGGCAGGACCCCCGCCCCCCAGCAGCTGTGGCTTGAGCAGCCCGTGATCCACTCTCTCCAGGCCCTATGAGCCTGTAGGAGACCGCACCGGCTCTCTGCAAGTCCCTCCGGGTCCGGTCTCTTACATGGAAGGCTGAAGCCCTGGGCTTCCAGTCTGGGAGATGTTTTGAATCCAGCCCAAACCAGCCTTGCTGCTGCAGAATGCGCCCATGTGCAAACCACGGCTCCCTGACTCATCCCTGTCACACCGACCCACTTGCAGGTGCTGACCTGAGCTCCGTGGATCCCGTCCGGGGCAAGACAGCCTTGGAGTGGGCTGTTCTGACGGACAGCTTTGACACCGTGCGGAAGATCCGGCAGCTGCTGAGACGACCCCAGGCAGAGCAGCTCAGCCTGCAGTACCAGCCAGAGTGGCCAGCCTTGGCCCAGCTCGTGGCCCGGGCCCAGGCCCAGGCTACCCCATCCCTCTTAGAAAAGCTGCAAGCTACCCTGAGCCTCTCTTTTGCTGAGTCTCCTCAGGAGGGGGGTGTTCTGGACCACTTTGTGACGGTCACCACCAGCTTGGCCAGCCCCTTCCTCACCACGGCCTGCCACACACTGTGCCCCGATCACCCACCCATGCTGGGCACTCGAGGCAAGTCAGTGCCTGAGCTGTTGGGCACCGCCCCTCCCCCTCCCCCAGCACCCCACCCTCCTCTGGCTGTCCCCGTCCCCCAGGTCTTCGTCCCCTACCAGAGCCCTCGGAGTGTGCTCTCCCAGTGGTTACAGTCCAGGGACAGTACAGGTGCCAGGTCCCAAATCCCCAAGATCCTCCTCTCCAAGGCGCCCTCTTCCCCTACCCAGTACGAAGAGTTGATACTCAGGCCTGCAGGGCAGCGAAGTCTGGCTCTTCCTCTCTGGAGATACCAGGAGAGGAAGAAGCAGGAAGATGAAGCTAAGAACCATGGGGAGGTGGGCTAGGCCAAGCTAGAGGCGAGTAAGACACGTTCCTGTCTGGGGCTTCTTCTGCTTCCCAGCTGCCTCTGTCCTGAGGAACCTGCTTCCGCTGACCGTACAAGGTTGCCCACAGTAGTGTCTGCAGGAGGGAACAGGACCAACCCAGTGTCTGCCGGCAGGGGATCGGCTACCGCGATTGTGGTGGTAATACCCATACGCTGGATTCTGTGTAGTCCATCATAAAGCAGGAGAAAGCAAGGGTCTCACACAGAATCTATCTTCCAGTTGTACCAAGCAGATAACCAAGGGTAGAAAAGCATGCAGGCATGGCATTTGTCAGAGAACGTCTCCCCTCAGGTAACCACGTTTGTCAGGACATCTTTATCCTCAACTTTGTGAGATTTAGAATCACACCAAAGAGACGCCTCTGGGTGCCCATAGAGGCTTAACTGAGAAGGAGAGGACCACCTGAACTTGAAGGGCACCGTCCGACGAACTGGGGCCCCAGACTGAATGAAAAGAAGGACCCCAGCACAGCGTCCCCTCTGTTACCTGACTGCAGACGCAACATGGCCTGCTGCCACCTCCGGCTCCCGCTGCTGTGCCTCCACCTCGTGGACTGAACCGGAGCAGTAACTAATGCAGATTACCACGGACATGTCATGAGTACCGAAAGCTATGTAAGGACTTAGAAAGTGGGGCAGCAGGATGGATCCAAGCAGGAAATGGAGGACTGTGGAGCAAGGGGTGCGGGAAGAAGATTGCAGAGTTAGAAGAAAAGAAGTTCCCAACCACAGGAAATCCTGCACTGTTTTTACTTTTTTGCCAAAGAAAAATGATTTTGGGGCTGGAGAAGACAGATCAGATTAGAGCCCTGGCTGCTCCTGCAGAGGACCCAGGTTTGGATCCCAGCACCCAGCTGTAGGGGGTCTGATGCCCTATTTTGATTTCCTTGGGCACCGGGCACTCACTTGGTGCCTGGAGCTACATGCAGACAAAACACCTATACACGTAGAGCAAAATTAAATTTTAAAAAGAAAGGATCCAAGAATAATAACTATTTGCTGTTTGTCAATCTTCTAGTGCTTGACTCGTTACTTTGTAAAGTCTGGGCCTTGGTGAGTAGAAAATAGGGTGTTTGCCTGACATAGGTCGCAGATCTGTAGCTCCAGCTACTCAGGAGGCTGAGACAGGAGGATCACTGGAGTTTGAGACCAGTCTGGGCAACACACAGACCCTACCTAAAGAAAGAGGGAGGGAGGGAGGGAGG